CTTTCTTTCTTTCTTTCTTTCTTTCTTTCTTTCTTTCTTTCTTTCTTCCTTCCTTCCTTCCTTCCTTCCTTCCTTCCTTCCTTCCTTCCTTCCTTCCTTCCTTCCTTCCTTCCTTCCTTCTTTCTTTCTTTCCATTCACAATTGGTTTCAACTTAACATGACATTTTTGGTTTACCAAGAAATACTCTACCCTTGGACATCTGGCTGGACAAGATTAGTAGGGGTGCCAAGATCTAGTACTTGATACTAGTCTCTAACTAAATGTTGAAGACCTTTTGCTTATTCCTGTAAACTATTTCACAACATGAAATACGATTAAAATAAAGTCCTACAAATTTATTCAGAAATGGTATGTAGGCACTAAAAAGCATGTAGGCACTGAAGTGTAAAGGGAATAACTATGCTGATCCATTTCAAGAGAAATTCTCTTTTTAGGGCTAATTAAGACCTTATGATTGAAGAAAATAAGAGCAGGAATCTAACTGAGCAAGGAAGAACACATAAAACTTTCAATATGATCCATCTGGCTCTGATCCACTTTTTCTGCTGTAACAACACCCTTTCAACAACAACGAATAGCTATGTTTGACATTTAAATGTTCATAAGCACATGATTGCTGACAGCACTATTGTAGGCCTTACCAACTGGAAGCTTACATTCTAAAGGGATACAACACATATGTATCTTCAAACTTATAATCATGTAACACACACACATACACACACACACACACATAGATATAGATCATTTTGTAGATAGTTTCAGGTTTTTTTTTGTTATGAGGTTTTTTTCTTTCCATTTTTTTGGAAGACTGAATAAGATTCTATGGAGGAGGGTAACTACAAGAGTGTGCCCCCCCCCCATGGCTGAATCCATTCTTCCTAGTTGAATCATTCTGCATGGTTAGGATAGTAAATAAGTTTCACACTGAGCAAGTGGTCAGTAAGATCTAGGAGGTGACTGGTGTACAGTCTTCTAAGAAGATATAGTCTACATTGAGTCAAAAGAAGCTTTAATAAAATTCATTTACTATAATGCTGTGGAAGTAAATCACATGACAAATGGACTCATTGTAGCTGCAGGATGGAGGCAGCTCCATCAGATACCTCACCTCTTTACCACTGCCTCAAATTTCAGTTTTGACTCCTTGTGAAAAACAGTTCTCGAGTTCGTTCTCTCTCTCTCTTTCTTTCTCTCTCTCTGTCTCTGTCTCTCTCTCCACAAACTTTTCTTATTAAGCTTGAGTGGATTTTTAAGGAAAACCCTCCTTTCTCACTCCCATACTTTCATTTTAGATATGTTCAAGAAAAGAAATCTTTGGAAATAATTAGAATTAAAGGCTTTTATGCCATTTTAAAAGCACTTTAATTCTCCAGAAAGAGGGGAAAGGACAGGAAGCTAAAATTCATTTAGCCTGGGGAAGTTAAAAATTATACTTCAAAAGTACACCTTTGAAGGGGGTAAGCCAAGTAGAAGAAATTGAAAAGGTGCTACCACACAGTAGAAAGGATTACTAGGATTCATACATAGATTCTAGGACTGATCTGTCCTTAACTTAAAGTTAAACTTAAGTTTGGGCAATGTCTCTGGGCCTCAGTTTTGTGATTTGTAAAATGAAGCAGTCTAACTGGATTTTAAGATTTAGAGCTGGATGGGACCTCAGAAATGAGCTCTAAAGGTTTGGTCCAGCTGAAAAATTCTATAGTTCTATTTTGGAGGAATATCACTGGAAAGAACCACTAATAAAACATTTCTTTTGACCATGAAGATCCACCCACACTACAGCATTTTAGTTATTCAGTACAGAGCTTACAAAAAAAAAAATATAAATACAAAGGAACTTGGAAAATCCCCAGTTTATGACAGGGATTCGACCTTGTATTGTTTTGGATGCAAACTTGTTGCGTAATACTTAGCTTCCACCCCTAAGAATACAACAGAAACGTCAAAGAGCTCCAAGTCTGCATTTTTGTAAACATTCAAGTAATGAGTACACAGGCAATCTCTTCAAGTCTTCAAGTTGTACTTTCAGTTACATGTACAGAATGCCACCTGGCACAACACTGCCACATCATTGAAGGTTGCAGTGTTTATCAGTTGGCTGTTGAAACATGAGTCTCCACTTGACAAACCCTTCAAGGCTACAACTATGCTTATCTGGCTTGTTTCTGCACTTCCAATATTTCGGGGTGGGGGGAATAACTTGTTCTTCGTCAAGCCTGCTTTATAATAGCCTGAAGGAAGTTTACCTACTTATCTATTCGTAGTTTTTTTTTTTAATTTTTTTTTTGGTACCTTCGCTGATATTCATCAGACAACGTAAAAGCTTAAATCTCAGATCTAAAACGTACCACGTTTTCAGGTTACCAAACACTCAGTCATTTCCAGGAAATTCCTTACGTTGTTATTTCACCTGGGGGAGTGGAAGAACTGAATCTTCCCCCACCCCGATAAGGTTTTAGCCTTTAATTCAGCTTAAGAGTTTGAAATGACTGATTGTTTTCTTGGGGGAAAAATAACAGATTATCCAAGAACTGAATCTCCTTGTATGGCACCCTAATCCGACCACTCACCTCTTTGATTTTTGCCCTCTTCTGACGGATTTCTGGGTCGGTGGGCTCCCGCCCTAGAGCCCCGATAGAAGGGCGGAAGTCCAGGTGAGGCAGTCCACCGGCATTCCCTTTATTGAGCAGTTTGTCTTGGAGAACTTGCTCTTTTTCCTGGAGAATATCCCTCTGAATCTCCTCGGGCAACTTCTGCAGCGTCTCCTTGGCCTCTCTCAAGGCTCGCTCGTGGTCTTCTCGAATCTTGGCCAAATTGTCCGCAGCAGCAGCGGCCGCGGCAGCAGCCGCTGCCCTCTCACCTTCGCTCCCCTCTTCCCCCTTCCCGCCTGCATTGATGTTGCCCAAGCCAAGCCCCTGCTTGTGGTCGGAAGCTGGTTGAAGAGCCGAGTTGGAGTGGAAGAAGACACCGCTGAGCAGCTTCGAAGAATCCGGCAAAAAGAAGATCGCTCCGAAGCAGAGCGTGATGAAGGCGCTGAACACCAGCAGCAAGACGAACTTCTCGGTCAGACGGAAAGCACCCGGCCCGGCTACCTTCCTGATGCCCAAGCCGCTACTACCGCCGCCGCCCCCACCACCCAGCCCGCCCCCGGGGGGGCTGCTGAACATGGGCAACAGGCCCCCCATCGGCATCTCTCCGCGAGACCCTGGGAACGACTCGGTGGCCCTGATCTCCGCGGCGTGCAAAAAAACTTCACCCCTCTGCAGCCCGGCTGTCAGGGGCTCAGGGTCCAAGTCCCGGGCATCCAGAGCCCAATAATCTTCCCGCTGGGCTATAGATCCTCAGTGGGGGGGGGGGCAGAGTGAGGGAAACAACTTCCCCACCCCCTCTCTTCTCCGGGGTCTCCGGGGGAAGCTCCTACTGCCCACCCACACCGCACAGGAGGCTCCTCCGATTGCAGTTGCTGCAAGGAGAGAAAGCAGAAAAGAAGAATTATTTGGATAAAGTTTCCGGTGGGTCCCCGCCCCACTCGGGCCCCCACCTCCTGGCAAGGCTCCGGGTGCCGCCCTCGCTGCCCCTTCCTTGGTGCCGAGGTGGAGTTTTTAGGTCCTACACCTTGGACTCGGTGTCCTGCACACACCTGGGTGGCAGCAGGGGCTGGGATGAGACCGGACACCTTCCCCCCACAGCAGGCACAGCCAACTCTAAAGCTTAGAGGGGAGCGGCCAAGGGCTAGTCAACTTCGGCCGCGCACCGTGCTCATCATTTCTGCTGCCCCCACAGCGGAGTCAGAGGCGGCTGCAGCTGCTGCTTTGGCTGTTCTGGCCGCCGCTCTCCTGGGCGGGCTGGCGGGCGCTCCAGTGAGCTGTATTGCACGCTAGCTACTCCTCGGCTGCCGGGTTTCCACTAAAGCAACTCCCGGGCTCTGGGCTATCGGAAATGAGGGCGGTGACACGCTGCCAAGAGTGACAGCTCTCACGGCCAATCCCCGGCCGCTCGGGGCCCGGTGGAGGGCGCACGGACACAAAGCAGGGAGGGGCAGGGAGGGGCTGGGCCACGGGAGGGAACCCTGCGCCAAGGTGGGAGGGGGCGAGAGGAAAGAGGGGCGGGAAATTTACGGGAAGCTCGGCCTCCTGGGGGCTGGAGGGCTGGGGGTCTACGGGGCGCGGCAGAGTCCCGGGGGGAGGGGAGAGAGCAGGAAACGCAGGCTACCTCGTGGCGGGAAGGGGGAAAAGGTGGGGGGCTCGAGGAGCTGGGCAGTGCTGGGCAGCGGGTAGCGGGTAGCGGGTAGCGAGGGTATGCATAGGAAGGGAAGGAGGAAGGGTGCTGTTTATTTATACAAAGTATTAGGCTTGGCCATCTGGTGACTCTGGAGGTTAAATAACCGCCCAAGGCAAAGGGCAAGGAGCCCTGAGCGGGAGGGGACAGAAGTCAACGTCTGGGAGTTGATCTTTGCCTGGCCTTGGCCCTGGGCAGTTCTTGCACTATTTTCCCCCAAGTTCACTCAGTTGAAGCTCCCGAAGCGGGTGGGGACAGTTACATACATCCTATTTGGTGGCCCCAGTACGGAGTCTACACGCCTGTGTCTTGGCTGGTGGGGAAGGGAATTGTCCTGTGGGGGGTAATGGAGTCCGCGTGGAAGAGGTGATTGCTACTTTAATAATGATTCAAAGTTAGTTTCATCCAATTAATTATCCTCTTTAAAAAGCAACACTGAGGAAGTCGAATACAAAGTGCTTCCGTACTAGATATACCTACACTGAACCCTCCTTCTCCCCAGTAGAGTAATATTTTAGCGTTTTTCTTTTCCAAAGGAGGAGTGTGAATGCTTGAAGCTTTTAAATTTCCTTGAGCTCTCTTCTTGGTAATCTCCTTACATCGTTTTCCCATTTACAGTAAGAATGGCTGGTGGTTGTTGACTTTTCACTAAAAAAAAAAAAAAAAAAAAAGTCGAAGTTATTTTTCTCCCCCAGGATTCCAAAATTTATTTAGCCCGTTCGAGTTAGCAAACATGGTCAAATTTTCCACACCAAAGGAACAGTTAACAGTGCCCCTAGTTACAAGTAAAAAATGAGATACTTGGGTTGAAAATTTTTTTAAGTCTTTAACTTTAGAGTAAGTTCGATGAAGGAAGAACACAGAGGTTGACTCATGACAGAATCATTTCCCAAAATGTAGCCTTAATTTCCCTGATCTTGAACAAATGGTCAGATTATCAGTAACAGAAAATTTTCATACGTCCTCATCTTTGAAAGCAAGCAACTTTGTGGCTAGACCGCCTTGCCCCGGAAACACAATTTGATTCTTGTTACTTTTACTTTCTGCCTGTTCTCAGACCAAAGTAAATGCTGGCACTTTTGAAGATGCCTAGAAATTCAATAGTTTTGACAATTAGCAAATATGAGAAATTTAAAAATTGTAGCTGAAAATGTAATTACTTGTAGGATTGATATCTAGTATTAACTTGATGTATCTGTGTTTCATTGTAGACTAGTTTTATCTCCAATGAGTTGTGTTCTTTTTAAAGTAGGAAATCATTGTTTGGGAAGATATACTTTGAGATTATAGCATTCTAGTACCTGCTATGAAATTCTACATCCAGAAGAGTGCAGTATGCCCAAGCAGGGTAATATTGATCAAAAGGGATAAAAAAGGGAAAAACAATTTTTTATTTAAAAAAATTAGAAGTATTCACTAGAAGGGAAATATTGTTTTGAACAACTATTATAAAACACTGGTGGACTGAAAAGTTTCTTTGATGGTGCTTCAAATAGCAGCTTGCCAATTCATTTATTTTCTACATTGTTATAAAATATTTTATACTGATTACCCTGGAATTCAATATCTGTAAACCATATTTTGGGATATCATTCGTTATTTTAGCAATTTTTAAAAGGAACTTCAAAATGCTAAAAAAAAATTTAAGTAGTATCAAATAAAATTGTCTTTTAAATCCATTCTAAGTGTTGAGAGAAGATGCAAAGTCTTACTATTTCTAGTAGTCTTTAAATTACTGCTCTTATGCGAACAAGACTAGGCATTACTTCATTTAGTACTGCAGTTTGTAAAGGGACATTAAAATTCATTGCTAAGTGTAGAAAAGATTCAGGACTGATACTTTTTCTATCAATTTGAAATTTTATTTAAGAAAATGTCATTTATATATACATGTCACTTAACCCTCTTTGCATCAGTTTCCTCATCTGTAAAACAAGCTAGAGAAGGAAATGGCAAACCACTCCAGTATCTTTGCCAAGAAAACCTCGGATGAGGTCATGAAGAATTGGAGACAACTTAAAACAACTCTACATACATATAATTTAAAGTATTGCCTGTATTCAGCTCAGTCCACCTTTATGTTGCATTTTTAAAACTTTTAAAAATTATGTGGAACACTTCTTCAAAGATAGAAAATTTGGGCTTTGATGGCATGTTAAAAACAGATTGGTATGGATGGATGTATACTAATATACATATAAAGGCTGACAGTCTGTTTTAGATGGAATCAGAAAAATATAAGAGGGCTTTAGTACTGTCAGAGGAGAAATAAAAGGGAGAAACCAACAGGACAGTAACATTTTGGGAAGATATTTGGAAAGATACTTCCCCAGTTATTGAATGAAATCCAGTTATAGAATTGTAGAACTTGGATCTGTGAAGTTCAATGATTTAGCTATGGTCACGTGACTTATTAGCTACAGAACTAGAATTAGAACTTAAATCCTCTGACCCAAAGGCATGAAGCAGTTTTGGAAAGTACCATTCACTTACTTGATCAAAGCAAGTAGTTTATTCAAGGCAAGTGGAAAGGAATAACTATTACCAGTGTAACTTTCTTGGAGGATCTTAGGATTTAAAGCCAAAGTAAACTTTAGGTATCATCTAGTCCAATGCCCCTCATTTTACAGATTAGGAAACTGAATCCCAGAAAGGGTAAGTGACTTTCCCAAGGTCATACAGGTTTTAAGTAGCAGAACTAAACTTTAAACTCAGGTTATTAAACTACAAATCCAATTCTCATCTATACTACATTGCTTCTTTGGGTTACTTGTACAGTTTCTCTATTTAAAAAAGTCTTGATGGAGGAAGGGAATGAGTTTATTCATTCACAAAGTGAGGTACATTTAAAGGATTTATTCAGATAAAGAAAACTACTAACAGATTTATCCAAGTTTTTCTTAATTCTTTAATGATTTAGATCACTCAGAGTCACAACAGAAGCTTATATTTATAAAGTAACTTAAGTGCTTTTCTTACAACAACCCTAATAAAAGGTAAGAGCTGAAGGAATCATTGCCCTCATTTTATAGATAGGGAAACTGAAGATGTGGGTGCATGTTATTTGTCTAAGGCCACAAGGTTAGGAAATGGCAGAACTCAGACTCAAAGCTAAACTTTTTGATTCCAAGTCTATTGCTTTTTCCATCATATTTAATGTTAATAAACTGATTTAACTTATTATGGTCTGCAAGTTTTACATGAATGAAACAAAATATATCAACAATTATATGTATGTATATATGTATACATATGTGTACATACATATCTCTCTTTTTTCAGTATTTGGGCAATTATTATTTTGACAGTAACGATATATGGATTACTTCAATGCAGATTCTGAATAAATTTTTCAAAAAACTGAAAGACAAATGTCCATTACAATTAGATATTTTCAGATAACCTCCATGTAAAAGCTGACCCAAAAAGGGTGGGGTAGACTATTTTTTCTTGCTGATGTCTTTTTTAAAAAATTATCAAAAATTCCTGTAGTATCCTTCCCCATTCCTACTCCCTCCCTGAGACCCATCCTATATAACTAAACTTTTTTGTTTAAAGAACACAAAACTTTTGGGTTTAGAAACGGTTCATTTCTCAATATCAAAACTGATCTAAATGATTAAACATGGTTAAAATGCATAGATCATTAAATATTGCATTAAAGATTCAAAAACTCAAGTAACTTAGAAAGTTAAACTAATCCTTTCACAGCAATCTCTATAAAGTATGTCTTCAAATTTCAGATCTATACCATGTTATGAATTGCTTTCAAAAGTTATTTTCCAAAATTTACAATACACAAATATTATTATGTCTTCACATTAGAGCACTGTGAAGAGCAACTTTGACTTTGTATAGAAAACATATCTCTATATAGGACAAAATTTTAAGTCTCTAAGTATAAAAATAAATTTCAAGTCAGAATGTTATTGGCTTTTGCTTAAACCTTATTAAACAGTTCACTAACATCCATAGTCAAACTGAAGGTTTTATGTAATTTTAGTAATATTTGCATTCAGATAAATGTCTTAGCATTATTGGCCATTCCCTCTCCCCTCCTCTGGAAATATATTTATGTAGAACAGATTTAGCAGCAGATTTAATATTTAGTACTCTATTTGATATGGTCTGATGTAGGCTAAGAAAAGCCTGATCAGTGTTTTGTCTGTCCCAGACAGCCTTCTGCCAAAAGATCTGCTTTTATTTGGATAATAATTTCATCACTACACCAGTCCTCAACTTACAAGTGAATTGTGTTCCTAAATTTCATTTTTAATTCAGCTATTTAGATCTCTTAACACCTTTATTTCACTTTAAAATGGTGGTTAAGTTCCCAGGCTACCCCACAAAATTTTATTTGTCATAATGCAACTGAAAACATTTGCAATGAAAAATGGCAATAAAAATGATACCATGGTATAGTGGAAAAAGTGTTGGACTTGAAGTCAGGAAAGACATGGGTTCAAATCCTTTCTCTATCACTTACTAGTTATATAAACCTCAGTAAATCACTTAAATTCTCTAGATGTGCTTTCCAGGTTGCCCTCCCCTTAGGAACAGTGTCAGGGGAGATGAGGTGCTATGTGTATATTTCTGTCTGCAATAGACTGTTGTTTGGGAACCAGGACATTTGTA